TTGCTACTTGATGAAAAAGTACGCATTCCAGAAGAAAATAACTGAGCAGCCCTTTTGATATAAGTATAAAGTCTGTTAGAGGAAACAGTCCAGCTCTGGTTATGTATGTTGAAAAAACATGGTGCCACCCTGGCTGGTGTGGCTCAGTGGATTGAGCATGGACTGCGAACCAAAGGGTCACTGGTTTGATTCCCAGTCAAGGTACGTGCCAGGGTTGCAGGCCAGATACCCAGTAGGGGGCATGCGGGAGGCAACCACACATTGACGTTTCTCTTCCCCTCTTACTCCCTTCCTTCCCCTCTGTCTAAAAATAAATAAGTAAAACCTTTAAAGAAAGGAAAACACTGTATCAAATGTTCTGACAGCTGTTGGGGACAAAAAGAGACATTTCTGGCTTCAGAGTCTGGCTAATGACATTTTTATGTTTTCATGTTTTAGAAGACTCCAGGGTCCTACAAGATAACTTGGGGAGAATCCTGAAGATGTCAAATGTAGGTATAGAATGAGAATCTTCTAAGACTTTTATCCTGTGCTTGATACAACAACACATGGAGGCACGAAATGCTAAGTGGCTGACACATAATGTGGACACATAATAATAGAAAAATACAGTAAATAAAAATAAATTGCAGCTATTTAATTATTGCTGAGATGCAACATTTTTTCACACATTTTAGTTCCTCTTTCACCATTTAGTAGTTTTTCCATCAACTTGTAAGAGGGCTTCTGAAATGAAGAATTTACTTCAGGTTTATTGTGCGTGCGGCTACTACACACGGTCCCAGGGAGGGCTTCCTAAATCTTTCCCCTCGGCACAGTGGACTCACGGACACCCCAGGATGACTTCTGGGCTGACTCATTTTCCAAAGCGATTGGCTTTCCAAAGCCGCTCATTCCAGCACCAGCCGGACTGAAGCTCCAGACGCTGACTTCCAGCCCCAGCATATCCCTGAGGTCACCATTTTCCAGCTAAACCCAGAGACGAGAAACATATCCACATCTGCTTTCTGGCAACCAGGCACAGCTGCTATCTGCCAGGCGCTATCTACACAAACTGGAGTCGAGTCGCCACGCTAAACCCCCAGCCTCTTTTGAAATGGTCTTATGTATGAGATTAGAACCTTTTAAGCTATCTTTCCGCCTAGTAAAGAACCCAAGAGGGGAGAAAATACACAGCAAAATATATATCACCTAAAACAAAGTTTGATTAAGTGCCTACACTGCTGCTACATTAAAATTGTCCTGATTTTACCATAATTTTAAAAATTGTCCCAGCAAATGAGTTTAAGGATATGAGACTTGAATTTCCTCAGTGCTTGGACTTCCAGTCAAGTTTTGCTTCAGGGTCATATCTGAGGGCCCAGAGTGTGACCCAAGGAACGAACCATAAGGTCAACATCATCTGGGGATTTGCTAGACATGGAGACCCCACCCCAGACCTTCGGCATCAGTCTGCAGTTGAACGAGATCCCCAGATAATACGAAGGCATGTTGGATTTGAGAAGCCCTCTTAGAGCAGTGGTAGGTATCAACTCTGGGGTACACATCTCCTGAGGAGCTTGGAAACAATGTGCTCAGGCCCCGCCCCCCAAGACTCCCATCCTGTTGTTCAGAAGGGGGACTGGGCTCTGGCATTGTTCGGAAGCCCTTCAGTGACCCTGTGTGCAGCCAAAGACGAGAGGTAACTTACAAAGTTTCTAATACTTCCTTCTAACAAGGCAGAGTTGACAAAACTTTAAAATATGAGGTGTTCAAATTCTATGCTTTAAAAATTTTTATTTATTTATTTTTAGAGAGAGGGGAAGGGAGGGAGAAAGAGAGGGATAGAAACACTCATGTGCAAGAAAAACATCCATCTGTTGCCTCTCAAAAGCACCCTGACCAGGGACTGGGGTTGAACTTGCAACCTGGGAATGTGCCCTGACCCGGAATTGAACTGGCGACCTTTGGTTCACAGGCTGGCAATCAAACCATTAAGCCACACCAGCCAGGGAAAATTCCATGCTTCTTAACTAAGTATTATATACCATTATTAAATCCCAAAACTGGCTAGCTCCTGCAGAACAGGGACACATTAACACAAATTATTTTTTTGACATCATGTTGGTCAGTTTCAAGAGTGATTAGGTATATCAGGGTAAGAAACACAACCACCAAAACACACAAAAAGCAGTTGAGGACCTGCCCTTAAACGCGTCGTCCGAGTATTGGCAACCCCACCTTCGCTCACGTGCTCATTCGCCCAAATGGGTCACACAACAGCACACTAAAATGGCCCAATTTTGTGGTTATTAAAAGGCCAAAACAGCCAGACAGGCTCTGCCACCACCCAGTGTCTTCAAGCTACTATAAATACAGCTTTCAAAGCTTATCTCCTTGGGCCTTTTGAGTCATATCCTGAAGGGCTGAACACACATTCAGCTGGGTAGAAATGTACTGTGTTATCTGCATTCCAAGATGTTGCTGAACCTGACCTCTGGTTTTCTGTTTCCAGGAGAGCAGCTTGCTGTCACAGCAGTCCGTGTGGAGCTTGATGTCCATGCTGTAGTGGTGGCACTGTGGGCGTTCAGAGCAGCTGGATGGAAGCAGGCCTCACACAGAGCTTTCCAAGCTCTAGGCCACAGCGGACCCGCTGCCTTGAATCAGTTTCTATTGCTCCAAGACACTAACCCTCTACTGTGGCTGAGAGAAACCCAAGGTGGCGCCTGCAGCTGTGACTTAACTGTTGGTTCCTTGTGTGCTTTATATTTTTAGTTTTTGGAACTGTCACCCAAGGATATGTTTACTGCTTTGAGAGAGAGAAATATCGATGTAAGAGAGAAACATCAATCAGTTGCTTCTCATAAGCACCCCAGCTGGGGATCAAAACCGCAGCCTAGGTATGTGTCCTGACTGGGAATTGAACCCATGACCTTTTGGTGTACTGGACGATGCTTCAACCAACTGAACTGCCAGGCCAAGGCCCTTTTATGCTTTACAATTATGACCAGATTCTTTGTCTTCTTGAAGGTGATACAGTTGGAAAATCTCACGTAAGAAGAGGGTTCTCAAAGATTTTTTAGCTCAGAACACCTTAATACACTTAAAAAATTATTTAAAACCCCCAAAAGTTTTCATGTGTGTAGGTTATCCAGTGGTGTGCTGGAGTCAGTCGTACCAGCCCCCAAGAATTAAATAAATTTTCAAGCCCACTGCCAAGCCATTGGAAGCTTGAAACTGGCAACAGAGGGAGTATAGACACCATGGAAACTGGCAAATGCTACAAATGAGGAGCCTGTGCCTTTTCTGGAGATCCGGTTTCATAGCAAAACATAGATTATTTCCAACAATTTTTACCATATTAGACAGTAAAGAACTTTTGAAAATACTTCTTACTTAAAAATAACAATAAACCCATTCCATGTTAATATATTTTCTGCAAAAGTACTGTTTTTCCAAAACAATGATTTGCTGAGGAGGGTCGCACTGCTTTATATTTTTGCAAATCTCTTCGATGGCTGGCTGAATGGAAGACGGTCAGATTTTCCCATCTGCTGCATTGTGCACTCTGTGGCAATATCACACTTCCTGTCGCCTCTGGAAAACTCAACAGCACACTTGTATGAGCTTGTATCAGACCAAAGGGGCAAATAACGCCTCCCTATTTTTCAGATCGTTTTGATCTTGCACATGTCCCGAAAGGGTCTCCAGGACTCTGACAGTCACTGCGTTGGAACATTTCTCCTCTGCTCAGGTTGCATTTTAACTGCACCTCATTCATGAAATGCAATCAGGTTTATGCCTAGGTCTAGGAAGTTTGAAAAGAACAGCCACACAGCTCTGTGAGTTCTGACAGGAATTTGCTCTCAGAGACTGTTTCCCCCCTTAATTGTGACCCTGACTCCTAAACAGAGGCAAGCTGCGAGTGGAGGGCCAGGCCTCAAACGTTAGAGAGCTTGGTCATGGTCCTAACTTTTTCCACCTGCTCTAGGAACTCGGACTTCCTGAAAAACATGCCACTGTTTTTCTTAATTTCTTAAATTCAGAAGCATAACCTAAAATTTTCCATTTGCATTCTTAACAACCAAGTATTCCATTTCCTTAAAAACCCTACTTTTGGTGGGAAAAACAAACATTTCTATGTTAAGGAAATCCAAGTGTGTTCTTTAAATTCAAACATATTTTGAAGAAAAACAACAGAAGAACTTAAAAGGGAACTTTTTGGTTAGAGTGGGGCCCTGTTTCCAGCGAAGTTGGGCTGCCTTCATTCTCTATATTCCCGAAGCACAAGTAGAGTCCAGGCCGCAGAAACCTAAGCTTGTGTGTTAACTTAAAAATTCTGTGTTAACAAAATTCTTTAGTTGAAAGAATTTTCCTGTTGACTATGAATCTCGAAATACATTATCAGCAGTTTCCATTGGTTTTCATCTCTTGTTTTGCTTAAATTCCCCCTCCTTCCCTCCACCACAGAGGGTGTTAGGTGGCAGACGACGGTCGCCCAAGGGCAACCCTTCCCTGGGTTCCAGTGCTGTCTCGGCGCTGAGGTTTAATTTGCTGCTCTCTAGGAAGGAACTGCAGACTCTTCCCTCTGTGCCTGTAACCCAAACTCTGAACATATTCTCAATGATAGAACCTTGAATTTTTCTAAGAAGGAAATAAAAAAAAAAATCCAGAGAGCTAATCACCCACCCTATCCCGTCTCCAGGCTCCCAGCAGCTGGCCTTTACGACCCATGTACCAGGTTCTCTGGGCCCCTGGATCTGGGCTAAGACAGGGGCAATGGAAGGCACCAGTGAAAAATCAAAGAATGGGGGCCAGCGTATTCCCTCCTCTGCCCCTTTGGTCCTGGGGTGGTAACAGCTTCTCTAATTGCTAGTCCCCGAGGTGCTTCACTACCCCCTGCTGGTTATCTCAGCCCTGTCCACACCTCTGCAAATCGCCTCTTCATTGAACGCTCTTCAGCTTAGACTGGACTTCCTGCCAGGGCCCTGACAGAGACAATAAAAGTCTATCCAGACAGGTACCAAGCAAACTTTCATGTTTATTACTATAGGTTACACACATCAAAAAAGGGGATAACATAAACACGGGGACATAATATTTTATAAGTACAGATTGTTAATACAGGAATAATGGTCATATTAAGTCAGAGGTATTTCAATATATATACAGACTGAATAAACAATGACAGCAAATTTCCACTGAGTTGGATAAAATGAATATAACCAAATTAATAAAAATCCATGTTAGCTTCCACTTATAACACACACCTTAATGTCATTCTAGGGTATTTGGAAATAGTTTGCTGTTTTAAATAGGCAAGCACTTGCCTTGAAACTTTGTTGTTGTTGTTTTTTGTTTACGATGCTAGCTTTTTTCCTATGGAAAAAAGATACATTTCAACGTAATTTTCAATTTTTTTGGTCAAATCCCTGAGGACTTTCTGTACTTTATACTCATCACAGTGTTAAGAGAACGCTTTTAAAATCATCTCATTAGTTATTAAGAAAAGTGAATGTAAGATAGAGAATAATTTTGCTAGAATACAAAGTCAATTTAATTTTATTGTTATTTCTAATCAGACTGACATAATTAGTTCACTTTTAAAAACCTGGTTTGGGTAATTTATTGAAAACATTTGTAAGTATAGTGTCCAATTGATGTAGTTGGAAGGACTTATTTATAAAAATATATTTCCTGTATTGTATTGGGGTTTCATCTGAAGTCATAACCACAGGAAATAGTAATGCAAATGCTCAAAGTTTCTCAACAGACAGGCTGCGTGAAACCTGTTTGGTAGCATCTGGTTAAGACACTGCTTTATATAATGACATACTTATTAGACATGTAGTGCATACTTATTAGACACGTAGTGCATGTCACAGTCCATGTGTGGCTGTCCTCTGTTCTTCTCCAGGGCAGGTGCCAGTCTGATTCAACTCTATTGCCCAGCACCCATCAGAGTGCCCGGGGTACAAAACTGGGTGTTCGTGTTTGCGTCACGGGCGTCTCTACCTGACAGTGGACCTTGCGAGGTAACTGCCGAAAGTGAATATGCCTTCGGTCTCTGTTCTTAAAATGCACGGGCAGAGAAGTCTTTCATGTTCATTATCTCCTGGGATAGCACATCCTACTCTGCCAATTTCCAGTAAACATGATCCGTTCAATGCCAACCACAGAGGGGAGCCCAGGAGACACAGCAGTTCGGTGGTCCCAGTCCTTGTGCTCTCTAGATCACCTGGAGGGTCTGGGCCGCCCCTCACCACTGCCTTGTATGCACAGAGTGGAGTCCCCATCAGGGGCAGGTCACTTTGAAGGCCGACCTCTTGTCGCTAGTAGAGGGCTGCTCATTGTTGGTTTACATACACAGCACATAAAAATCAAAAATTCTACCCATGTTTCCATAGTAAAGAACTCAAACTTTGATATGTTTAAAATGAAAAACAGTAGGACTTTTTCTACACACAGATAATATTATCTCTCAATAACTTAAAGCTGTTGAACAATTTCAAAATAAACTTATTTGCAAAAGCTGTGTAGGTACAAACTACAATATCCCTCCCTGTTGATGGATATCTTCAGATATTTGGGGCTAAACTCCACTGATCTAAACTTTGCATATTAAATCAGAGAATCAGAGTTTATTTTCATAATCTCCTGGTGAAAGAAGAGAGTTTCAAAGTGTCCATTCTAGGCTGCATTGCAACTGATACAACATGTGATGTACACAGACACACACACATACGTGTAGGTCACCGAAACACATCAGAAAGTGACATTCAGTTATTATGGTAGCACTGGCACTACTGTCATGGAATAACCTAGTTTTCTGTTCATGTTATCTTCTTCTGTAACTAATAAATCTATACCCTTACTGGCTCTCCTAAGGGGGCAACATGCAAATTATACATTTGTTGTTTAAGATGGTAAAGTAAATACTTCTTGGCAAGGACTAATAGAATCCTCAGGTTCTGCGCTGTTTTCAACCTTCCTTTTGCAAGCCTCCAGCAGTCCCTTTCCTAAGCTAACAGCTTTTTGTATATGCTGTTATTCAGGTGAGTAGAGCATGTATCCATTTTACTTGCCATCAACTGACCACTGCTGTTGTAACTGCTGGGATCGGAACTCTCTTTGCAGCATAAGATACTGCGGAGGTATCTCTGGCACTCGGAGGAAGCATAGTAGTAAATCAAGGGGTCAATGCAACAGCTTATGCTGCTGACACAGACACAGAGGAGGTAGGCAAAGTAGGTGGCCTCTGTGGCGGGATTATGGAAAAGGGACGTGTAATGCATAATCAGGAGGACGTTTGTGGGTCCAAAGCATATGATGAAGATGCAGAAAACGGCGGCAGACAAGAACAAAGCCCGGGACTTCTTGCTCCGGTTGGCGACTGTGGAAGAGCTAAGACACTGAATGATGGACACGTAACAAACTGTGGAAATGACCAACGGCACAAAAAAGAAGATAGCAGAGAAGGCTGAGAAGTAATAGGCATAATAGCCTTCGAGCAGGGTTTCATTGAGCACGTCGTGGCAGGTGGTTATGTTGAGGCCCGGCACCTGGACGGTCTGTTCCTTGAGGAGAAGGGGCACCACCCCCACGATGGCCATGGCCCAGATGACCAGACACGCGAAGGACGCCCTCCCCATCGTGCGCCAGGAGAGGGACTGCATGGGATACACCACAGCCAGAAAGCGGTCAATGCTGATGGCCGTCATGAGCATGACGGATGCATACATGTTACAGTAAAACGCGGCAGTGACGAAGCGACACATTTCAGACCCAAACCTCCAGTCACTTCCGGAAAAGTAATAGCTGATCTTAAATGGGAGCACGGACACGAAGAGCACATCTGCCGTGGCCAGGTGTAACATGTACACCACGGCTGGCTTCTTGATCTTCATCTTCAAGATGAACACCACGATGGCCATGACGTTCAGAGGAAGGCTGAGGACGCACACGCCAGTGTAGACGGAGGGGATAAAGAAAGTCAGCCAGGAGCTGGTCAGATACGCGGAGGCGTCTTTCGAGATGAACACAGAGGGGGGTTTTCGAAGAGGACTGCCGTGATCGACCGGGCTGACTCTGTCTCCACGGAACTCGCTTTCATTTCTCTCCTCGTAGTCCTCCAAAGGGATAGGTTCGAATACACTGTTGGAATTCCTGAGAAAAAATGTCCGGGGATCCACAGAATCATTTCTTGTTTGTAACTCTGAAAAAAATTTTTTTAATAAAAAAATTTAAAAAACAGGATGAGTTACAGAGGCAAAAGAGAAAAATGGAGAATACATTTTACTTTTGCTTTTTGTTTTCTTACTAGGACAGTAGGTGGTAAAAAAAAAAGCAGGTGATGTACAAATTGGTTACAGACTTTATCAGAGAATTAGCCAATCAAAATACATTATGTTTTGACACAATCAAACACTTCGATAACTCTGTTCCTCAGAGGAGGATTCTGTTCACTCAGAGTGAATGATACACTTTTCGAGATCTGGCCTGCAGACCCGAGGATGGCGGAGTACCTGACATGCAGGAAAAAAGCAGTGATTTCTATACTGCACTAGCCAGACTTCTCTTACCGCTCTGTGCCTTCTGGTGTACATTTCTCCAAGTCATTTGCAGCATCCCTTGAAACCCACCCCTCCCAATAGAAAACTGCATGGAAAGTTGAGGAGGCTTCTTCAAGGTCATGGAGTGACAGGCAAATTCAGAGTAGGACCAAGGGCTCCAACTGCCACGACCACGGCCCGTGTGACATTTTCCTCTGCTACCTTTAGTTTCTCTACACAGTAGAGTGTCCCAAATCTGTCACCATATTTGGGCCAAAACTGCAGGCCCCTGGGTTATCTTCTAATGTAACCACAAGGTAGCCCAGTGATCTTCCTGTCTCCTTCCTTGCAGGTTGGGGGAGGAGCGGATGGTCCAGGCCGATGGCCTTCCTCAGCTCAGATCTGAACGCTGTGTGACTGCAGCAGATGCCAGGCCAACCAGGCGCTTCTGAGCATCCACCAGAAGTCGAAATAAAGGCTCAGTTGCATACTTTCTCCTTTGTCACCTTTTCTCCTTCTGTTACCTTTTTGAACCAAGATCATCCATTTGAAATGTTCATCAAAGAAATGCAACACCTAGCCACTGGAATCCAACCAGCTTTTCTCTCTAAGGACCTCTGCTAAAATTCTGCCACTAAGAAGAGTCAGACAAAGCACCTCTGATGCTCTTGGGAAGCTGAGGGGTGGGAAGGGCAACCCCAGAGGAGAAGGGAGAGGCCTCTACCTCTGGGAGCGTTCGCAGCGAAGACTGCATGTGCGGGCCACTTAGAAATAATGTTACGGAATTTAAAAACTGGCTTAAAATGGGATAAATACAGGGGATTTTTAAACTTCTGGTTTTATTTTTCAGTAGTGGAACCTTTCTGCATACAGAAAAATCACACAGAGAGGCATAATGCTATAAAAGATAGTTCTGCTTCCAATGTGGCTCTATAAGGTGCTGCCAGATACAACTGTCCCTTAGAATAAAATTACAAAATGCTTCCTCCCCAAAATCAATGACCTGAAAGCATTTAGGTTCATGGGTGATGTTGGGAAGGGAAGAAATACATCCTGAAAGAAAGACTGGTACCAGGCAAATTTCTTGTTTTCAGTGGCTTTTAGCTTGAGAGAGGTCAAAGTCAGTGACATAAAGGATGGCTAAGACTGTGACAGGAAGCCCACAGTTTCTCTGGCCTGAAGAACCAAAGGACAGAGTTCAGGGCTACCACAGACACTGTAAATCCCAGAGAAGGGCAGAGAAAAACAGAGAATCCCAGAGAAGGGCAGCCCTAAATTCCAGTGTAATTTCTGCCTGAGGCTTTGGGTGACTGACTCTTGAGCCAGGCATGTGTAGGGGAGATACAAAGCAGCTCTGCTAAAGATAAGAGAACTCGGGTGCTGTTAGAGCTTTTTGTCCAAGAGAAAGAGTCTGCAGTTTGAGTCCAACCAAATTAAATGTCTGTGAAAGCAAAAACACCAACATTCTTTGGGGGAATAAAACAAAATCCAGAGTCTTTGCAGTAGGACAATGTCCAGCACACAAGCTAAAATCATTTGGCATTAAAAAAATGAAGTATATAGTCCCAGTATTCAGAATTGTAAATCAAATTTCAAATTCAGAGCCTTTCCAGAAGTGTTACTTTCTTCCCTTTGTGTTACATCTGTAACTTACTCTGTGTGCATCTTGACTCAGTCCCATGGAGGTCTGACATTGGCACTGACAGCCCCCAGGAATGCGAGGTACTCTCAAGGTCAGAACGCATGTGCGGGAGCTGGGAGAAAAGAATAAGTGGTTCTGGCACTATAGCACCACGAAGATACGTGTCCTTAAAAATGAGGACCTGGACAAACCTGAAAATAACACAGTTCTCCCCTGCAGTTTTGGGAACCTGGGCAGATTGAGGACTTTTGCCATGCATGGAGGGTGAAAAAGTGTGCACACACATGCACACATGAATCAAGACACTACCTACAACATCAAACTAAAAAGTTTTTGCACAGCAAAGAAAACCATCAACAAAATGAAAAGGCAACCCACTGAATGGGAAAACATATTCAGCACATATTTCATAAGGGGTTAATATCCAATGTTTATAAAGAACTTATAAAACCCAACACCAATAAAACAAAGAAAACAATTTAAATATAGGCAAAGGATCTGAATACACACTTCTCCAAACAGGATATACAGATGGCCAATAGACATAAGAAAAGATGCTCACTATCACTAATCATTACAGAAATGCAAATTAAAACCACAATGAGATATTAATTCATATGTGTCAGAATGGCTATCATCAATAAACCAACAGACATGAGTGCTGGCGAGGGTGTGGAAAGGGGAACCCTCGTGTACAGTGGGTGGGCATGGAGGTTGGTGGGCACGCAGAAAGCAGTATGGAGCTACCTTAAAAAAGTTAAAAATGGAACTACCTTAACACGCAGTGATTCCAGTTCTGGGAATTTATCTGAAGAAACCTGAAACACTAATTTGAAAGCATATATGCACCTCCATGTTCACTGCAGCACGATTTGCAGCCAAGATTTGGAAGCAGCCCAAGTGCCCATCAGTAGATGAGGGGATAAAAAGCTGTGGTACGTATACACAATGCAATACTACTTGGCTGTAAAAAAGAAGAAATATTACACTTTGCAACAGTATGGATGAACCCGGAGAGCATTATCCTAAGTGAAAGAAGCCAGTCAGAGAAAGACAAGTACTACATGAGTTTACCTGTATGTGGAATCTAATGAGCAAACTGAACTAACAAGCAAAACGGAGACAGACTCATAGATTAAAAGCAGACTGACAGTTGTCAGGGGCTGGGGAACTGGAGGGGATGAAGGGGATGGAGGGATTGAACAAAAACAGAAAAAAAAGATAGAAAAAAGACTACCTAGAGGAGTGATAAATTTGAAAACTACTGAATACTCATAACTAAGCTTCTTAGATACCATCGCTTGGTCTGAAAATAAAACTGTCACTAGGCTTTACTCTATATTTAGTGTTTTGGCAATAAGCATTTGTTTTCAAAAATTCCTTCCCTGACCAGGCCATCCCGGGCACTGTGGTGTTTATGACAGAATCATTAATGCCCACCGAAATACAACATTCTGGGCTGGAGCCCAGTCAGAATGAATAATCTGTTGGTTAAATATTATTGCCTAAAGTGTCACATTTTCTTGACACTATATAGGCCTGATATTCTGAAGGCTTTTGTGGAATTAAAGAATATCAGCAAAATTTTTTGTTTAAGTATGTACCAGCATTAAAAATAGAAATACAAAAGAACAAAACCAATTCCAGTGACTAGATAGATCCAAGCAGCTCAAGGCCCGCAGGCTGAAATCCAAGGTGTCTTGCTTCTCCTTCAGTCCTGGCGCAGCTCACAGGTCCAGGAGAAAGTGCCTGCCCGCCTGCCAAACGCTCTGTAACCCACCTGCGTTCCTGCTGTTAAGCTTTGGTCTCAGTCACAAAAAAGCAGCTCGGGCCCTGAAACCCATTCTCATATTTTTTGCTAAGTTTCACTTAATTTAGGTTTCTCTGAATGACTCTAGAGTAGTTTTGTTATTGAATACGGCATATTGCTAAATAGCTTAAAGATGGACTCTCTCTAACTCTGGAGATTTGAAAAAACTAGTAGACCAGGCGATGCCTTTTCTGACTCGGACGAGGTCTGGCCTGGAAGCAGAGTGGTGACTACAGGCTGTTCAGGGGCCCGGGCCCCTGAACAGGGGCCGCCTCCCGGGACACAGCGGCCTGGGTTCTGACTCAGAGCTCTCCACGGAGGCTTTCTGGGAGTCAACAAAGCAGAAGTTGCAGGACCTTGCCCATATTCTCACACACAGCAGGATGGTTGTACCCCGTGCTTCTTCACAAGTGAATCACCATAAACTAATGAGAAATGAAAAAAGAGGACAATGAAAAAACCAGAAACACACGAGCTCCTTCAGGGGAAAAGAGCAGCATTACTGAAATGCCCCATTGCCTCAAATGCAAACAGACACCATTTCCCAACGAAAGGAACTGGTGCTCCTTTGAAATTGTTGGTTCCAAATCTGGAGTAGGAAACTGGCACGGTGAGCCTTGACATTCTCAGAGAATAGTAGGGCCATGTCAGAAAGACTGTGGAGTCGACCTGACAGGGCTCCCCCTGGCCAAGGTGTGACAATCGATCATCAACAGAATAATGACAAAAATGCATCGAAACATGGGAAGCGTGTCAAATGTGCTGAGATCCAGTTCATGACAATATGCAAAAGAAAGTAAAAATCTTTTTGGTCACCTTTGGAGGAAATTAAAGGACCCAGTCTGAAAACTGGTAAATAAAGGCAAGCTTCAAGCATTATCCTGCCTTTTTGATTTAAACGGTATTTCAGAGAAACCAAATAGCCACCGAAAGTTCTTCTTTATGAAATAATTCCAGTTTATAAACACAGATGCAATAACAGGTTTGGAGAAGCATCATTTTGAAGCTCTTAGGGAAACAATGAATGTAGCTGAATCATCATCATTGGTTGCTAACACTGTTAAGTAAAAGGGTGATGTGAGACTTTTGGCTAGATCAAGGTGACAATACCTGAACCCACTGAGTATGTTACAATCTCAAAGAAAGAGAGAACCTGGAGACGATGTATTGAATGATAAGAAGTACAGAGCACCACAGCTGAGGCAGACTTG